GTCAGTCTTACCTCGGTTCCTGGAAAAATCATGGAAGGGATCCTTAAGGAATCCATTTTGAGGCACTTGGGAGAGAGGAAAGTGATTAGGAATAGTCAGCATGGATTCAAAAAGGGCAAGTCGTGCCTGACCAATCTGATGAGCTTCTATGATGAGGTAACTGGCTCTGTGGACATGGGAAAGTCAGTGGATGTGATATACCTTGACTTTAGCAAGGCTTTTGATACTGTCTCCCACAATATTCTTGCCAGCAAGTTAAGGGAATATGTATTAGATAAATGGACTGTAAGATGGATAGAAAGCTGGCTAGATTGTTGGGATCAACGGCTCAATGTCAGGATGGCGGTCAGTTTCTAGCGGAGTGCCCCAAGGTTCTGTTCTAGGACCAGTTTTGTTCAATATCTTTATTAATGACCTGGATGCGGGGATGGATTGCACCTTCAGCAAGTTTGCAGATAACACTAAGCTAGGGGGAGAGGTAGATATGGTTGAGGGCAGAAATAGGTCCAGAGTGACTTAGACAAATTGGAGGATTGGGCCACAAGAAATCTGATGAGGTTCAACAAGGACAAGTGCAGAGTTCTGCACTTGGGACAGAAGAATCTCAGGACGGAAGAATCCCAAGCATTGTTACAGACTGGGGACCAACCAGCTAAGTAGTAGTTCTGCAGAAAAGGACCTGGGGATTACAATGGATGAGAAGCTGGATATGAGTCAACAGTGTGCCCTTGTAGCCAGGAAGGCTAATGACATATTAAGTTGCATTAAGAGGAGCATTGCCAGCAGATCCAGAGATGTCATTATTCCCCTTTATTTGGCCCTGGTAAGGCCACATCTGGAGTATTGTGTCCAGTTCTGGGCCTCCCACTACAAAAAGGATGTGGATGCATGGAGAGGGTCCAGCGGAAGGCAACCAAAATGATTAGAGGGCTGGAGCATATGACCTATGAGGAGCGGCTGAGGGAGTTGGGTCTGTTTAGTCTGCAGAAGTGAAGTGTGAGGGGGGATTTAATAGAAGCCTTCAACTTCCTGAAGGGAGCTTCCAAAGAGGATGGAGAAAGGCTGTTTTCTGTGGTGACAGATGGCAGAATAAGGAGCGATGGTCTCAAGTTGTGGTGGGAGAGGTCCAGGTTGGATATTAGGAAAAACTATTTCACTAGGAGAGTGGTGAAGCACTGGAATGGGTTACCTAGGGAAGTAGTGGAGTCTCCATCCCTAGAGATTTTTAGTGTAGGCTTGACAAAGCCCTGGCTGGGTCGATTTAGTTGGGATTGGTCCTTGATGACCTTCTGAGGCCTTTTCCAGCCCTATGATTCTATGCTCTGGGGGCAGGGCTCGGGAGAAGAATGTGGCTGTGAGCTGCAAGGCAGGTCTGGTTGTAGCTTCTCTTTTCCCCTTCCTTCCTCCAGTGCACCTGCAAGGGAGCCTGGGCACTGGGGATCCCCCACCCTCTCTTGTGCATGGCCCAAACAGGTGGCTCTGCAGGTTGCTGCACATTGGCTTTCCTAACCCACATGCTGTGTAGTCTCAGCCTTGTCTCCACACATCTCCAGGCTTTCTCCCTCAGCATCTGTACAGTGGCGTCGCTCCTGTGAAGGGAAGGGAGTGATAGCTGCTGTGACAGCCTTCCCCCCCTCTTCAGCTTCAGAAAACAAAAAGTGATGGCAGGGGTAGGAGGTCCAAGCCAGAGCCTCGCAGACCCAGGAAGAGTAGTAGCCTGGCAGCTGCTGGAGCTGAGCCTTGAGGGCAGAAGGGAAGTTGGGAGCGGGGAGGGGCAGAGAAAAAACTGCCCAGAGGAGGTAGAGTCATGGGCCCTGCAGTACATCAGGATGTGGCTGCAACCCTGCAGTCGGTGCGAGGGAGGTGTGACAAACTGCTAGAGGTGTACTGGTCACATTTTAATTGCATATTTGTTATTTGCATAATGGATATGCAAATCTGCAAATACAATGTTACGGGTCTGCCATAAGTTTGTGAATGGGTTTGCCAACTCGCGTTATAAAATGGGTTGGGAACAGCTGATGTAGAGAGGGTGCAAAGATTGTACAACAGTAAACCCGGTACTATATTCTTTGTGGATCCAAAACACCCATCAACTTGGCTGGAGGCTAGTGTGCACAAAGAGCTGAGAATTGTGCCCAGCATATCTGAACATGTCTACACACACACCTGCTGCATGGCAAACTGGTGTGTAAATGTGCATATGTCAAAGCACTCTAGGAAGCTTTCTTCATTCACATAGAGTAGGCAGTTACTGTGTGGCGCATTGGTTTACACCAGTGTTTCTTAAACTTTTTAAGACCGAGGAACACCAAACCATTTTCTTTATGAGGAATACCATGGATTTTTTTTGTTGAGCAAAAAGGGTCGGGGGACAGTTATTGAGCAAAAAAAAAGGTCACCTGCCCCTTTAAGGTTGGCCATTTTTAATTCTGTTGTTCTCCACTGCACACCTCCGACTGCCTCACAGTACACCGGTGTGCCACGGAACATAGTTTAAGAAACACTGGTTTATACCCTAGCATGCCACACAATAAATGTATGATTGAGCATGCCCTTAATTTGTATACAGGTAATTGAGGAAATTCTTAACTTCTTCAGACAGTCATTAAGCTTTCGTTGGTGAGCAAAATATGTCCTGTAGGCAACATAAAATGTCAGTGGTATTTTCATCAGGATACTGACTGGATCGTGTGGGAGTTCCACACACACTTGCCCTTCAGTTTTGGTGGGTGGGTTTTAACCTTTCAGAAAAAACCCCACATAATCTTTTATATTCTTTGCTTCTGGAAAAATGATGGGCCCAACCCTTATTTCTTGCATGTCCAAATCTTCCATTGACAATATTTTTGTTACTTTGTGTTTAACACTTGCTTTTTTTGTAAATAATTCTTTTAATTTATTTTTTAGTATTTAACTTGGCTCACCTTAATTGGAAGTCTTGGGTCACATAAATGAATTGGTGAGAATTTCTGAAAAGGCTTTTCATAAGCAACAATGAAAAGTCAAAATCAGAACTGCAATCCCATGGTTGTCAGTGTGATTTCACCAGGAGTAAGCAGTGCTGAACTTGGTCTGAAGCATGGCATTAAGTATGGCATTGCTTGCTTAACTCCCAGAGCACCATACCAAAAATATACTGAAAGTGCTCATTTGTTACTTATTCTGAAGCCAATTTCAATAACATATTCATTCTGCCAACTGCTAGTTCTTGTTTCCCGAACATTTTAAAATGTTTTGTCTAGCATTACCCTGGCAATTGTAGAAATGTACATCCTCTCCCAAGTAAAAGCCTTCAGCATATCACAAATGAAAAGTCCATAGATTTACAGTATGCATTATTAACTGCTCCTTTATTCCCCATCAAAATGTGATATTCAGAGTAGGGTTGTTGCTGATATAAGGGCGCCTGTGCCTTTGAAGTGTAGTAACAGCCTTGGGGCCAGTCCCCTGCTGGCCCTGTGATCCCCATGGTGTTTCAAAGCAGCAGCACCGCACAGAGCCCTGAGTCAGCGGAGCACTCCCCAACTGATCCTGGGCTCTACATGGCACTGCTGCTTTGAAACGCTGTGTGCAGCCTGGGGACACCTGAGCTGGCCCCAGGCTCCATGCAGCACTGCTTCTTTGAAGTATCCCCTCTACTTCTCCCCTTCACCTCCCTGTGATCCCCATGGTGTTTCAAAGCAGCAGCACCGCACAGAGCCCTGAGTCAGCGGAGCACTCCCCAACTGATCCTGGGCTCTACATGGCACTGCTGCTTTGAAACGCTGTGTGCAGCCTGGGGACACCTGAGCTGGCCCCAGGCTCCATGCAGCACTGCTTCTTTGAAGTATCCCCTCTACTTCTCCCCTTCACCTCTCTTCTGCCCTGGCTGCCCCTTTCCCACTGTCCAATAAGCATTTGCTTACTGGATAGTTGACTAGTCATTCCCATCCCGAATTCAGATGAGTTCACTAGGGTAACTTTTTTTAAAAATGCCACTGAATTTTGATTTTATATCGACCAGCATATTCTGAACACTTCTAAATAACAATACCATTTTCTGAGCATTGCTTCTGTTTTATGGTTGACAGATGAAGGCTGGCTGGAAGTTGTCCAATCTTTAATTAGAGTTATTCCATTAGAAGATCCATTGGGACCAGCTGTGATAACATTACTACTGGATGAGTGTCCATTGCCAACAAAAGTAAGTTAAATAATGCATGTGTTCTGTCACCAAACTCCAGCCTGGTGTGGTTGCCACTCCCAGGAAAGTCTGAGCTGTTTCCACCAATGATGTAATTTATCCTAGGTGTTAGTTGGCTAGTAAAAATAGATAAGTAGGGTAACTAGTGAGGATCTGGAATTCAGTGGGCTATTGATGGTAGGGATGTAAAATCCCGTTTAATCCATTAATGGGTTAAACGTTATGTTTAACTGTTTTAAACTGGGGCAGGGGCCACTCGGGCAGGGCTGAAGTGCAGCCCCTGCCACTTAATCGTAACCTGTAATCGTCATCCAGCAAGGGTGATGCTTACGACTAACTATTCATATCCCTAACTGATGGTAGAAAGTTTTCAAGGAAAAATGCTGAGAGGAGAGTGAAAAATAGTTTGTATTTGGGGGAAGAGTAGGAAGGCTTATTTTGTTAGTTGCTTTTGCCACTGTGCTCTATTTCTGCTCTTTTGATATGTGTTACTTACTGCATATGCCCAGTGAGTGCACATTCAACTCCTTCTCACCTACTCTCCACATTTGAAACCTAGTGTCAGTGTTGAATACACCCATTACATATCTATGTGTAAGATACAGCTTCCCCCCCCCTTAGCTTGCACATTTTAGCTATAAATGGATCAATACTGTAACTTTTAAAAAAGCTTTTGAGTTTGATGCACTCTTTAAATGGTCAGGTGTGTGTTTATAACTGGATAAATTGTCATTTAGCTTTTGGCGTTTTCAAAACAGAGAAGTGGTGGTTATTAGGTCCCAATCCTGCGAGATACTCAGCAGCCTCAAACTCCATTGAATTTAGTGGGTGTACAGGGCACACAGCACCTCACATGATTTGGCATATGTTATTTTAAAGGCCTTTTAAATCATTGCTGCAACTTCCATTACTACTACACTTGATACTGTGCTAACTTGTATTTTTATTCTATATTGCCACAGGTTGAGAGATTGGGAAGTATCTAATTCATTTGCTCTCAAAATTATAAATTGAGTAGCTCATGGCTCAAGAATGGCTCTAAAACTGTAACTGTATAAGGAGCCTCTTTCTTCCTTGGTTAGTGGTTCCAGTTAGTCCAAGTTAATAGAGACAAAGTTAACCATACAGTCAGTGCCAGGAAGACTGAAATAAGATGAGATCTCAGCCAGTTCCAATCATAAAAACAAGCATACCATTGGCACTGATAGCCTTGTTGTTAGCATCCTCAAAAAAGTAATAACAAATCTTTGAAATGTGGAAGCCTGATTCTAAACACCTAAACTAGTGGCTTGATTTTCAGAGGTATAAAATGCCACGGTCAGGACTTCTAAATCATGTGATTTTTTTTTTTCAAGCACATTTAGTTTTTAGGCATTCAGTTTTCAAAAAGCTAGCCTGAGTGGGATCTAGAGAATAAGCTATCTTCTTACCCTTGGGAGATCCCTCTGTCCCCTATGTTGGAGTTCATATAATCTTGTTTATGTTTAATTTCTGTCTTTGTATATGTGTTTGCAACAATGTAAACTCTGTGGAGCAGAATTTTAAAAACATTGTCAAAACAGTTAATATTAGAACCTGAGTTACAGCCACTTTGGGAATGGAGGTTGTTTGTAACGCTGAGCCAAATAGTATGGTGTATCTTACTAGGGATGTTATATATCATGTAATTGATTAATCATGTAACCTCATGAAAGAGGGGCCGCTGTCCATGGTGATCCTGGGCTGCCACAGACCGAGGCTGCTTCATGGCAGACTCCCCTGTCCTCCCCCCTCCCATGCTGCTAACCTCTGTTAGAGGCAGCAGCATGGGAGTGGGGAAGGTAGGCAGCACTGTGGAGCTAGTATTGGCACTGGCGGGAACCAACGTTTTTAATCGCGCTGCCCCCTGGGGCAGGCGGGTCTGTGGAGCCTGCTTGAAAGCCAGCTTCCCACTCCTATCAGCTCCAGCCTGCTCCCTTCACCCTCTTCACTGCTGCCTCTATTAGCAGAAGCATAAGGGTGGGGAGGCTAGGCAGATCTGGTGCTCGTGGGGAGCCGGCTTAAAGCCAGCTCCTCACAGGCACCAGCTCCCACTCCCTCCCTCCCCTCTTGCTAACTCTGATACAGAGTCAGCAAGCAGGGGCAGTGTGTGTAGTTGACAAGATTCATCGTGTAGTCGACTACATTTTGACATCCCTATTTCCTACAAAAGTTTACAACTGAATGTTGACCTAATACAGCTTTGAAACTTTATTGTGCAGAAAAAACATGATTCTTTTAAACTATCTTAATTTAAATGTAACAAGGACAGAAAGGCTATGTCTAGACTGGCAAGTTTTTCTGCAAAAGCATCTGCTTTTGTGGAAAAACTTGCCAGCTGTCTACACGGGCCGCTTGAATCTCCGCAAGAACACTGATGATCTCATGTAAGAAATCAGTGCTTCTTGCGGAAATATTATGCTGCTCCCGTTTGGGCAGAAGTCCTTTTGTGGAAAAGTGCTTTTGCGGAAAAGCATCCGTGCCCATCTAGACTCTCTTTTTCGCAAATGCTTTTAATGGAAAACTTTTCCGTTAAAAGCACTTGCGGAAAATCATGCCAGTCTAGACGTAGCCAAGCAGTTTGCTTACCTCATCAAATATTTGTTTCTTATTTTGAGTAGTTTATATTTAACACTGTACAGTATTTGCACTGTTTTTTGTATGTCTCTGCAGCAGCCTGATCTCACACTTATGTTACAAAAGAGTTGGCTGGTTGGTGGGTCAGTCTGTAACTTTGGTGTTTGTGACTCTTGTACTGTAGTTTCACTAACATTGATTGAGGGCAACAGCACCTCCCAAGATTTGCCATATACTGCTTTAAAGGCCTTTTAAAATCTCTGTTTTGCCATGAACTCTTTCTGGCACTGAGACTGACATCCTTATTCTAACTTTAATTGTACTTTTCCATTTCAAGTTCCCTGCTTAGTTCTTGCTGGTTATTCTTTTTTTCTCTATGCTTTTTAAAATTTGTCAGCTCTATCTGTTAGTTTTGATTGTGGCTGTTCTTTTGGGAACACAATTATATTTTCTTGTAAACTCCATTTAAAGATCAGGTTTTTTGCATATTGCACTGGTTTAAATCTAGATCAGAATCTGACCCAGTGTGTATAAACATAAGACTTCATAAACTAAATTACAAGCATCTTGTCCAAATACCCTGCTGATAAACAACACTCCACATTGAAGTTGTTTTGTTTTAATTAAACTATGAAGCTGGCTCTGAATTAGTTCAGCTGAAACTTTCCTAAAAGTTAGGGGTTGAGATGCAGTTTGGACTCATCTGTGGATATTTTCTATTCTGACTTGAGATTGACGCCATTGAAATTGATAGGAGTTATTGTAGATTTACTCTGAATTTAATCCTCCATTAATAGCTAGAGGAAGCTAAGGCACAAGCAAAGTTTCTTTCTGTCTTTTGTGCTTATCTAAAAGACTAGCAAGGTGAGTATGGGAGAGGGGGAGGATGTGGTTTTAGAGTTAGCAACAACATTTTAAAAAATAGTATCAGGATATTTGGAACAGACTAAACCATTTTGTTGGCAGTCCTCCCTGGTTTGTGCCATCTGTCTTACTGATCCATTTTAGTTAAGGAAATGTCAATACAGTATTTCTGATGCAGTTGGCATCGCCTCATTTTTGAGCAAGCAGACATACTTGGCTCATTTGACAGTAATCAGTAGATTAATGTAACTTCAGGGTAAGTTAAGCTTCTTATCTGTTGTTAAAACAGATTATCACCTTGATATCTATAATATTATCCTGTTAGCACTGATATTGAAGCAGAATCATTGAGTTGTATTGAATAACTGAGGGAAAAAATGCATTCTGTAATTTCTATAGTGTTAAGTAGCATTCTGACTTTGTTTTAGGATGCATTGCAGAAATTAACTGAAATATTAAATTTAAATGGAGCTGTTGCCTGCCAGGATTCCTGTCACCCTGCCAAACATCGTAACACAACTGCAGTACTGGGCTGTTTGGCTGAAAAACTAGCAGGTAAGCAGAGAGAGCAGACTGAAAGCTTATCTTTGAGTTTTCCGTTGTGCCACAGCATAGCAACATTCAGAGCAGACTCTGTAGAACTGGGGTCATGTTTTGCAAGATCTTACCTGCCAGCTCTGACCAAGTCTACTACTTGATCAAAGTGTTAAGACTTAATCATCAGTAACCAGCAATAGCTTGGCTCCGAATTTGGATTTTACTACACTGAACTCCCTCAATATTTGATTTACTAAATAAAACCTCAATCCACACTTGTATTTTATTTCAAGTATCTGCAATATAAAATTTCCTGACACCAAAGTCTTGATGATGTTAACACTTTTATACCCTAAGTTGATGAGAGAATTTCTGGAAACATTGTTATCATTTTGCCTACTGAATAAAGAGCAAATTATTTTTTATTTAAGGGAATGCATGGCAGGGAAGACATAATGATGGATGTTCTTCCCACCACAGACAAATGTTGTTTTGTTGTAGTTATCTGAAGCAAATGCTCTTCAGTTACATAATGTAAAAGCACAGTGAGTATTTCTTTTTTAAAAGTAACTGTTGTTTTCATAGGTCTCTTCCCCATTTATTTATAATGCTTTGCTTGAAGCTGCAAGTGAAGTTTCCATTCCCTGCTGATTGTAGCCCCATTTGTCAACTTTTTTTTTTCTTTAGGGGTGCTTGAAATTAACATGTCTTTTTAAAATTCTTGACTTGTGCCCCACTGTTTAGATAGCACAGTTTTTAAAATACAATTTAATTATTGCTTCAGAGGCAGCATTAAAGAGCATAAAACATTTTTGTGTAGGTCCTACATAAACAGTGACTTTCAATGCAGATATTTGAAATACAACCATTAGTTTCTTCTTGCCATCCCCTTGATTCCAAGGGTCCAAATAAGATCTTCATTAATTGACCATTTCCATTTGGTTAGGTGAAAACAGATGCTTCTCTAGAAATTCAGAAATAGGGTCAATGCTGTTTTATAATTGTGCTTATATGTGTATACTAATTTGTCACAGTTGATTCATTTTTATGAAACAATGCCCTTCTTTCTCCCACACTACATTAAGCAGATAGCATTCCAGGACACTTTTAATTGGTCAGTTGCCACAACGCCAATCACAGATTGGGTGACTAGGCATCAAGCTGTCAGTACTGTGGGCATTATTCATTTTGTGCCAGCAATCAAGGGAGCTGATAGTTTTAACCTTGATTTATTAATACCAAATGCGTGAAACTTCTTGCTTTACGTAAACTGGGGCCTGATGTGGTTTTTTTTTTTTTTTTTTTTCAAAGATACTTAGGTATATGTGTTACCAGATATCAGTGGTGCATGTTTTTATAATAATGAAGATTAGCTAGAACAGTGCACAATTACAGGTATGGCATGTGCACATGAGTATTTTATGCCTATAAAGGGAAGGTAGATGCATGACTCTGTGTGCATTCAGATACCTGATTTATGAGCACATTCATAATAACTGCATGCATAAGTTAAGCATGCAATATTACAACTTTTGCTTGTGATTTTTGCAAAATTGTGACCCTCGGTACTAGTTTAATTTCTACCTTTTTGTGAATGCAAGCTCTTTGTCAGTGACAAAATGCCTAACTTGGTTCACTTTAATTGATGCGAAAAGAGAATACTGCATTTCCCATGCATGCATTTCATTCTTAGTGTTCTTGCAGGTCCTGCAAGTATATGCTTACTCAACCCAGGAATATTGGAATATTTACTGCAGAGCTTGGTAAGTATTCAAGCAAACTAGCATTCTTGGCTGCTCTAGCTTCTTAGTAGCATCTGTATGCAGAAGTGGTAAATGTTCTTACTTTTCAGCAACTGCTGCTGCTAACTTTTTTCCTCTTTGTGTGAAACTGCGTGCATCATAGTGCAGTAAGTTGAGTTTTTGTAATTGTGAGATCTTTGTCGCTACATAACAGCATTGTTTCTCTTCAATTGGTCACTAGCTCAACATACAAAACCAAATAATAATAATTAAAAGTAATCAAAATTAATAAGTTTATTCTTTATTTTGATCGCTTTAAGTGGATGTTGAATAATCTGACATCAGGCTATAGAAAGATTGGATTTTAAAAAAGCTAAATGAGACCATGAAAAAGAGAGGTGAAAATAAAGAACACAAATATTTTATTGAATTTGTGAAGCACAGAGAACATGCCTGGCACTCTACAGAATGTAGAGAAAATGAGTTCCTATTCCTAACTTCTCAGTGTCGATCAGACCCTGGCATTGATATGAATGTGCTATGGAAGTTTCAGTGTACAAAATGTTGTACTTCTAGATAACAAGTCTATCCATTCACTTGGTGAAAGTGAAGAACAGATTTCAACTGTTTCAACAGAATTCGTTGTCCTGTGAATTCAGAGGTCAGGGATGTAGTTGAACATTAATCAGTAGTAAAGAAAAGGATGATGCTTATCTTGTACTTTAATGTCCTGTGATATCTTGCAAGTCGTTATCTTATTCCTTCTAACATTGCTGTTGTGCTTTGCAGAAGTAAGAGTTTACGCAAATGTACTTTATTGCTAAAATTTCCTACATTTCAAATAGATCCATCCACAATAACCTTTTTGTCTGAACGTAGCCTTTTTGGCTAGAACAGTGGTTCCCAATCTGTAGTCTGCAGACCCCTGGTGTCCACAATGGTACTGCAAGGGGTCCATGAAAAGTTTAAAATAAGAATCGGGTCCACCGTGGTGGGCCCAATCCTTACTTTTCTTTTTCTTTTTTTTCTCTCCCAGGGAGAGAGGGTCTGTGAAATGTTAATAGATTGAAAAGGGGTCTGCATGCTTAAAAAGCTTGGGAACCACTGAGCTAGAAGGCTGGTTTATGCACCTTATTGCTAGTTCAGATCAGTAACCAATGATCGTAGTTGCAGAACACTATATCCAAAGATGGGTGACTCTGGAGTAAAGGCGCAATCCTAGGGATTTTGGACTTGGTATCCAGAAATGAACAGAACATGTTTATATCAAATCCAAAGAACATCAAGGGCCTGGCCAAACAAGTTCAGAAAATGTAAAGTTAAGACTGAAAAGGAGGTGCAGAGAGCAATCTGACATACCTATGTTGCATAAATTGCTGGTTTCGTCCCCTTGGAGGCTAGTCTGATTTACCCCAAGAAGAGAGTCTCGCTTTCAGGCTGGGTCCAACTCAAGTTTATTGGTTGCAACCAAGGTTCAGCTAAGGAACTCAATGTTCAAAGCAAAGCCGACCCCCAGCATCGCGTAAGCAAGGGGTTTTATAGGGTTACCATCCTTCCTGGTTTATGTGCCTTAGCACGATAGGTTACCTTAGCAGTCTTATAGGTCAGGTTAATTTTCTAAATAAGTGCCTACTTGCAGACTTTGCGGTTGCAGTTGTTTGTTACATTTATTCACTTGCTTAACAATAGGCGAGTTACACTTCCCTTTTTCCTGTCTGAGCCTGCCACAAGTTACTTAACAGGAGACTGGTTTCACTCCCCACTATACCAACGTCTCCTTATTAGGTGTTGTTTTTGCGACAGGCACTGACCTTTACAGCACTCCTATACAAATAGCAAATATGTCTAAGCATTAGCAATGTATATAGGTTGTACGTGCTTCTTATAGGGGAATCAATGGCTCCGGGGGATTTGACTTCCCTTTTACACATCACCTACCAGATTGCATTACTAGTTCAGTGAGTTCAAAGGTAGACCTTTTAAGCCTGACCTCAGAATTTACAGGCATCGGGCAATGGCTGTAAACAAACTTTATGGGACTGCAGGAAACTTGGCCACGCCAGTGATCAGTGGACATCCAGCTAACTAAAATCATGCCGGACCACAGAATTTTGCCAGACCAGAGAGGTTCAACTTGTACAGGTATCCAACACCATTGTGCTAGTGGATATGCTGTAATTGCACTCGTTTGCATTATGCTGTTATTTTGTGCAGAAATTGGTTTGCTAGTCCACAATTTTTCTTCCTAGTCTTCTGGGCAAAACTAGGTTACCAATCCCTTTGGAGCCTAAAATTGGAAGTGAAATTAGGTAATTTCATGTGGGGAGAAAATAAGCATTTAGTGTACGGTGTAAGCTAAATGGAAATATGCTGCCACACATTGAACACAAAGTGCATTTGAAGCTGAGATGTAAATATCATTAAGTTAAAAAACCTGACCACCTTACAGGAGTAGTGTCTTAACACCAGTTCTCATAGTAATCACGTAAAATGAGCAGCATATGCTCCTTTAATTGGCTGTAGAGCTGCAAAATTGCAGAGGCATGGGCACCGACACGTATCATTTTGCCAGGGGATGCTCGTCCTCTCCTCCCCCACCCTGCCTCTGCCTTGACTCCTCCTTCAAGCACACCCTGTCCCTGTCTCCTCCTCCCTCCCAGAGATTGAATGCCACAAATTAGCCTCTGGAAGTGCTGACAAAGAGTGGGAGGAGTTGGTAAGTGCTGGCCCCTAGAGCACTAGAGACTCAGGGAGCTAAGCTCTGGTGGGTGCTCTCCATCCACTAATTTTTTTCCCCTGGATGCTCCAGCACTGGACCACATATGGATTCAGCACCTATGAATAGAAGCCCATGTACAAACTTTCTTATGGGAAAACCAATTACTCTCTGAATGTACACTGGTGTAAAGGACAGGAGTTTGATATGAGTGCATTGTTCTAGTGATCTTTGTGTACTGTTACTGCATCTTTGGAAATGTTCATTAATCTATTCCCTTACTAATTTTATAAATGCCAGCCTTACGGGACTATAGACTTTTGTATTTTTCCATTTTAATACAAACTTAAAATAACCAGTCTTTGCTCCATGAACGGATACCCAGATGTGCTCTTGACAGTTTTGAATTGTTTTCCCCCACCAGTTTTGAATCCCTTTCCCCCAGCATGTGTTCTGGTTAATTGCAAATTAAATTTATATGTTAATGGAAAAATTGATGAAATTGTGTTTGAATGTAGCTGGAGGATAAGTGTAGTGTCACCTTTCTAACTCCCACAGGCATTAATGGACTAATGCAGGTGCATTAAATGGGAGGGGGATGAGCCTTGCAATGTGTAATTATATGCTATTCTTTGAACTTTGGTACTGGGAGGTGTTAGGACTGGTAGTTATAGCTGAATATGCTCCTGAAAAATTCATCCTGCAGAGTAAACTGTAGGAGCAGGCTAGTGAGGTGATACAGATTTAACCTAATTTAGTTCAATGCATTCTTAGCATAAGTATTTTAGGATTTTCTGCATTGAATGTTATGAAAGTTAGTGCAGTATTAGATCTCCTTTCAGTTCCCCCATGCAAAATTTTTGCCAAATGTATGCTGTCACTTGCGCTAGTGTAAATGTACCTGAGTGCATTTTTAAAAAAAACTTACTAGGCTGTTTGCTTCATATGTTGACTAGTTAAGTTGATTTTAATAAAAATCTGCATCTCCTGTGACTTTTTTTTGCCTGGCAGAATTCTGGAAGAGTAGAGAAGTATTGTCCTTTGATTTGATTTATGTGTAAAATTTGGTTTTGTCTTATTCTGAAGCTGATGTCCACCCCCAAAACCCATACACATGCCTGTATCTTGGTGAGACTGAATTTTCATTCTTGTGGTATGTCTACCATGCAGCTAGGAGCGAGCCTCCCAGCTCAGGTAGACAGACTATTACTAATGGTCTTGAGCTAGCATGCTAAAAACAGCAGCCTGGACATTGTGGCTCAGACACTGAAGCCTAGGCAGTTTCAATGAGTGGACTTGAGAGCACAAGACATAATGTCCATGCTGCTATTTTTACACACTAGCTCAAGCCCCATCAGTGAGTCTGTTTGCACACTTTGGGTGGCTCACTCCTAGCAGAAGCTGTAGAGTAGACATCCCTGAGACGTGTTGCTTGCCTTCCTTCCCCCGCCTCCAGGTTGAGATCAATTGTCCCATTCATCTGGGGTATCTTGCCCTGCCACTCTCCATGCTGTGCCTGTTTTCTGGGTGAACAGTGGATACTGCTTAATCTTTCACCAGCTTGACACGTTGTTTTTTAAAAATGTCAGGCTGTTCTTCTAAGGCTGGCCCACAAAGGGTTCTAACAGTCTTTCAGCTTCCTGTCACCTCTGGGAAAGGCAACCTCTTTTCTCATGGCAGAAGGGCCCTGCTGTTAGAGGCCCAGGCAGAGATTCAGGAGATCTAGGTGCTGTTCAGATCTTTCATTGATGTGACCTGGGGCAAATCACTTAACTTCTGCTCCTCAGTTTACCTATCTATGAATGAGTGCAAGTATATCCTTTTTTTTTAAAGAAAAGCATGTGTTCTTCATTTGAAAAGCTCTTACATAAGTGCTTACTATTAGAATAATTCACCGAATGCTAAATAAATCATGTGCTTAACATAGTAGAAACTTTCACTTCCTAATAAAGTGCTTGTTTGATTCAGAAATAAAGTATTTTGTCTGCCAAACTTTCTCTTGGCTCAGTGCCAGAGTGCTTGTAAATAATTTTTAGCATCTCCTTCACTTGTGTTAATTAGCATAAGGACATATTGATACTGAAAGTCCTACGCAATACCTGGTAAGGACATCTTAAAATTCTATATCAAATATATACTGTATGGCTCAAAACTTACAGCTTATTCTGGAGCATAGTCTTCCTTTTTATAAAGCCTACACCTTAATTATTTCAAATGAAGTTTCAGGTGGAAAACAGCTTTTTGCATGATTTCTAGCCAAACGGAGGGGACAGGTTCTTGAAAAATGTTTGGTGACTAGAACAAGGCAGGTTAAAGGTGTATTCAGAAACATTAGAGTTGTTTTGTTTTCAGAAAAAAAATCTAATAATTTTGGGCTAGAAAATGTACTTTTAATTCAGTGGTCCTCCAATGTGTCACATCAAGGTAAATCAGGAGCAATTGCACTGAAATAGACTACACAGGTTAAAAAAACTGGTGTAATATGAGAAATAGGTCCTTCCATACTTCTAGTAAGGTCCACTTCCCACCTACTATTCCTATTGCTCATGCTGTCTGTCTTTCTCTTGTGCAGAGTCTTAAAAATGTAATCTGGCTGCTAGTGTTATGAAAATGTTTTCATTGTATTAGACAAGCCAACAGAAACATCTTACACTGCTGTGGCATACATTTAATACTCTCTTGTCTTTAGAATTTCCAGTCCCATCCGACGGTAATGCTTTTTGCACTAATAGCACTGGAAAAGTTTGCACAAACAAGTAAGTATTAGCCTAGTACTTATGGCAGTAAAAACATTGGAGGTCATGTTACTCCAGAATGGTTATTTCCTTCATCTGATCACATCTACTCTCTGCTGGCCCCAACACATGTACTCCTAATAACTCGGTTGAAGTTCCAACTCGTAGCTTAAGCCTAGTGCCCAATAAGGATCACAATGATACCTGGCCTGATAGGCAA